ATTATTCAGGAAGAGCCAAGCAAATTCAAGAAGCCATTACACACCACAAGCAACAGTGGCTTGAAATCATGAGTAGCTTAACATCTATCATGTCAGGTTCCTGATGAATCTCCAAAAGACAGTGTCATAACTTGGAGACTACCAGGTCCATAGACTGATTTGCAATATTTGCCTTTGTAGGCATGCATAAAGCTCCTATACAWTTTTTATTTTGTTTTATATGTATTTATCTGTGCGTTGTATGCACAGTATATACCATTAAAAATGGAATTTGGTATCTCCTTAAGTCAATTAAACTTCTACATTGTTGCAAGAGATGGGGGAAAAAGAAACTTTTTGATTTGATCCTCTTTTTTGTGTAGTTTTATATACAAATTTCCCAGTACAGATCTATTTGCTGCTTTGAATTAAAGGATATTTGTCCTCTGACACGATCTCCAAAAGGATAATAGCATTTTTTTTTTTCTGCTAATGCTAAGAAAAGCACTATGCATGTGGATACCCAATATGAGAAAAAAAGAAGGCTGAGCTTCTGGCATCACTGCTGAACTAAAACACAAAAGCAGAACACAACAGTGAACTCCAGCAAACAGCCACTATTAGCATTCTGCATTTGTTTGTTTAGGTTTGAGTTCTTTCTCTCCAGTACAATTGAGTTGATTTTTCGAAGTTCAACTTGAACCTAACTGCTGTAAACAACATAATTGCCAGCTATGAGCTAACAGTTCTRTAGATGGTTAGTTGCTCCCAATTTAATAATCCCATGAATGACTTGAGTTGTGAGTCAGCAAAGATCATGAGCCCCAATTGCTAGCAGCAAGAGAAAAATTCAGTTCCCACAAGGAAAGATACCACATTTTAGAACTTCTGACCTTTTCTTTGTGGCTCAATTAAAAGTGATTTCATAAATCATCATAATCCTTTTACATTTTTAAATCAAGCACCTGATGCTACCTGAAGCACTTGTCGTAATATAATTCTCTTCAAGGAAAATAACCCCAAACTTCAAAATCAGAGCAGTCACAGAGTGAAACACATGCTTTTCAGTGCACTTTCTTAAACAGCACATGCTAATAAAAAACAGACACTAAAATAAAATGCCAGAATATCAGAATGCATTTATTTGTCTTGTTTTCTTTAAATTCTGAAAAGCATGGTCTTATACTGCAGATATTCAATCTCACTGATAAATATATAATTAGCCATACTACAAAATAGACACAAACTTGTTAAAGGCACAAGACAGAATACCATTGAGTTAATAATGTTTATTATTTTCATCTCTAGTAGCCATAAACCAGATAACAGAAACAGAATAAAAGAGGATCAAAACAAGGAAATTCCTAGGGAGAGATCCAGGTAACATAAGTTGGATAATACTAGCAGGAGCCAGGCAAACCTTCTTRGAAAATTTATGCCTGCAGTGTATACTGAAGAAAAAGATAGATGATCATTAGAAACATCGTTTTTGCAGCTGTCCCATTCCTGTAATGTTCTTTGTTACCTGTAGGGTTTGAAACATGCAAAAATCATGTATCCATTTTATACAAAACTTACGCTGGGCATGATAAATGACTGATCTCCTTTATATTCACTGTCRATCTTAAGTATTTAATTTAATTTTTGTGCAAAATATTTACGAAGGGGGCTGAGAGCAGGGTGATGTGTCTAAAAAGCAAATGGCAAAGTGTTATCAAGTGTTGGTATTTCTGAGGAATGCACAGTTTTTAGATTAGGAAAGCAACATCCTCTTAGAGTAAGGCAAAGTTACATCAAACCGTCACTACTATGGCTTTTCAATATTATTAATTCACTGTCCTTTGCCTTGTTATTTTTGCATTGAAAATGCTGTTTTCTGCAAAACTTTTCAGTTGCACAAAAAACAATTATGGCTTGGCTGAATCACAAGCAACTGGAGCTAATAACCATGTTCTGCCATCAGATAGTACAGCCCATGCATCGCTGCAGATCACATGCTTTGACGAGAATTCCAAACAAGAGGAAGAGACAAAACCAGTAATTGTTGCTAGCTTGTTTTACTTTTTAATTAGAAAATCTAGTAAGGCTGGGGACCACTGTTTCCCACATCAAATTTGCTGGCAAAAAGCTTCAAAACTGATCAGGTTTTTATAGCATGAATCCTTTGATGTTCACAGTTTAAAAAATCAAACAAAACCAAAAAAGAAACAGAAGATGATTTGAGGAACAAGGCAGTCTGCTTATCCAAGAAAGTCAGAGAAATTACTTACAACTCATGCATAAAAGGACTCTAAACTAGGCATGGTATATCTGAAAGTGCTTATGAAGATATATCTGGTTAACTTGCAGCAACATGAAAAAACTACCTAAAATGCATTCTACAGCCACAGACAAGATTTTTTATTTGTCAAACAAGAAAACCCCYGCTATGGAAGAATTAAACACTTGCAAATAAAAGATAAGAAATCATCAAAATTAGWAATCAAAGATATGAATTTAAAAAAATCACTGCATTAGATAARAGATGTGTTAAAATAAGTATGAAGAACACCACCATAATTCTGTTTATGTAGAATGTGTCATGAAGCTTAACTAAAACTACTTCTAATGTATTTTATGTAATGGGCTTAATGCAATAGGTAAGTTTTATTATGAGAGAAACTAAAAATGCACGGGTTRCAGGAAATGCAAATAAAACTGCTCTTATTAGATCCCAGGCTGGAAAAAAAAAMCCAAAAAAAGGAAGKTGTGGCTAATTACTAAAGAGAGACACTCAAAGCATTGCCTCAAAAAATGTTAATGGAGCTACCAATTCAATTCCAAATATTTTTTACTGATATGGAAAAAAAAGAAAAAATCAATTAAATCAGTTATATTTCATGCTGCAATAATAAGAAACTTTTTTTTTTAAATAATCACATCCTAACAGAAGTCTTGTTCAGCAGTGAATTTCCAATGCTAAAATGTATTAGGGTAGATTTTCAATGCTAAACTTGAAATAAAAWTGTAGTCCTTACAATAAGCCCCTATGCATATGGTAGATTTTTCCAGAGCTTATCAAGTCAGAGTATCACTGCAGACTGACRTAGAACCTCTCACAAGCCCAGTTGYRRGCATTCTTAAAAAAAGGAGGTGAARGCAGAAGGAGACACAGAGCAAGATTCATCTACACAAAGCTGTCTTTGATGATAAGCAAACATCTATCTTGTTGGGGCATGTTAAAGATATGGATAAATTCTAGGTCACTGCTCTAGGGAGATCAAAAATTGAGCCTTACCCTATAAAAGCACACAGTATCATTCAAGCTCTGTTAGACTTGAATTTGATTCCTGTCAGTTTACCTTTTACTCTTACAAGCTTCTTTGATGTACATGACAATCCATCAAGCAATTGGTCCTTTAGAAGCTAAAAATCCCTTCTTTGAAGCTTCAGGTGAAATAAATCAGCTGTCAAGCTTCATGAACTCAGTTTTTTTCTTAAATAGTTTTAAATGCCTGTTTAATGTCCAAACAATAAAATGTCTTTTTTTTTGCCACGTTTAGATTACAAGTAAAATGAATGTTGTCTTTGTTCTCAGTCACCTCATTTTAAATGAAAAACCGTACATCGTAAAAAAAGTTATTGACCAAATCTAAGACACATAACTGAAATACTGCAGATTTCGTTTAAAAATACATATACAATATAATTTAAACAGCCAAGAAATAATATGTAGCATGCCAAAGAGTACATACACACCACTTCCCTTACCAAGCTGAATACACCTGAAGAATGCATGCGGTTTTATACCTGAGTACCAGCAGCTCAGTGATTTCACTCCCCTACTTTTAACTGTCAGTAAAACTAAACTTCCCCTCTCAACTCCCTGCCAAAACTAAGTGGAAGACAGTGACAAAATACCAGTCATCTTTGATGACAGTTTTCTGACTATCACAATGTTGTAGTGTGAGGATGAGGCAAACCTTGCGAGTGAACACAAGCAGCTCAGATCTTTGGTCCAATGACTCAGTCAGGGAAAGAAAAAACTGAAGGGAGAGAAGACCTGAAAATAGATCATAATAATAGATCACTTGGAAAAGACTAAATCTGAGTTTCCCCTCTTATCACACAGAACTTATTTWAAAAATACCAGCAAGTCCTACGTTCCCTCTTGTACTTATTTTTAGAAGCCACTACTCTTTAAGAACCATCTTATTTCTTCTCAGATGTTTTAGGAAACACATGGGGGCCACGTGGCATGTAAGACTCATGATACTGAACTCAGCCATTCTGAAGATGGATTATTATCCAAATTTCTTACCAGTGGGGGTTAAAGCACTCCAGCTGCTGTGCTACTGTGTAAAAGCATCACTACAACTGGTGCAATGCTTAGCAATAAAGAGTGGCTGAGTTTCTGAATCCTGGAAACATTTCCAGGATTAGTCTGCTGAGGGAAGAATACTGTGATGAGATTAAAAAGGCTTAGATTCAGGACAAGTTGAGCTGTTTGGTTCGGCAAATGCAAAATTTCTGGGTGTGTGCAGAGACAAAACAATAACCGGCTAGTAAATTTTACTGGCAAAAGTTCAGACAACCATATATTTAGAAATGCACAGGTTGTAAAGAACATGTTCCTCTTTTTAGGCCTTTAAATACTTCTGGTCTCTTACTCRGAACATAGGTGGTTTTTTGCAGACTTACGTTACATCACAGACAACTTGTGTGCCTTGTAGTAACCCATTGAAAGCTGGCTGAAACATAAAAGTAGTAGCAGAATTTAATGGACTCACAGCTGACTCAGCTGACAAAAGTATTGCTGAATACTTTCCGCTACAATAAATCAAGCTATGCCATTAAGACATAGTTTTTTTACATGCATTTTTAAAGTCCTGGATGGCTTCCATTTCTTGAAATTTTTCCATTTTTGTGACATGAACCATCAAAAAACAACAGTGAACTGCCCCACTATATTTCTGATAGCATGCCAGATATATAAGAAACTATAAAAGTGTTACCACAAGCAGAGCAAAGAGGGTACTTACCAATATTAATTTCATCATCAGTTTCAGCATCTCCAATACACTCAAATTGAAAATCTTGCAAAGACTGTGAAAATTTTTGTACTGCCATAGATAAATCTAGAATTCAAGAAAAAAAAAACACAACAGACAATCAGAATTGCTCTACTAAAACTTCATGGAGCAAGGCATCATGCATTTCTGCATTAAGTATTTTTTCTGTTTACAAAGTTTCCTTTATAGTATCTTTTTTGGACATTAACCTCATTTTAAAATCACCATCACAATTTCAAAATCRAAGATCCCGAGACACCACAGACACCTATGAAACAGGCTGATGACCAATTTCAAACATTAATACAGTTATTATACTGACAAATGACAAACTGTTATACTTCTTAAAAAACAAGAGACTAGTATAAGAAATTAATGTCTAGTGATAAATTGGATATGTAAGTAGACCACTCTTTAAAATATTGCAAGATTAGCTTGTGGATTAAAATAAAGCTCAATTTCTTTCATTAACCTTATCAAAATAATGACATTCTAATTATTCTGATATGCTACACTGTGTAATGTTCTAGTGCAAAAGTTCTGCAAAAMGAAATTGAAAAGAAAAAAAAAAAAACAAACACAAGTGCTTTCCAATCAACAAGGTAGTCCATGGATTATGAGCACTATTTTCACTGAATTTCACAAAGCAACCCAACTTTACAGCACACACTTTCATTATAATTGTACACAACAAAAACAATACAGAAAATCAACCACATAAATCTGTTCTTCTCTCATCTTTTTTAGATATGCAAATGGCAAATGTAGAGATAAATGTGATAATGAATGGACTCGCGTYAAAACTTAAAAACACCACCAGTCCAGATAAGCCCAGAAAACCAGCTGTATCTAACCATCTATTTTGATGATAGGAAAACTGACAATTAAGATTCTGACATCTGCTAAATCTAAGCAAAATTCATGATAAGGATAAGTTATTAATAAAAGCCAAGGTATAAATTCTGTTTCAAAAGCATCACATTTCTGCCTCCTTCTGTGGGGAAGGTCAAAACCCATCTGGGCATGGTCCTGGGCAACCTGCCCTGCTTGAGCAAGGGAGTTAAACCAGATGACTTCCATGGGTCCCTTCCAACCTTGGTCAATTGGTGATTCTCTGATTTCTTTAATCCTCTATTACTGTAAACCCATAAATACTCATTCACTCAATGCTGGACACAAAATTAAGAGGACTAACCTTCATCCAGGCAGGAATAAAACCTAACACATAAATATACAAATTGGCCTCATGTCCTAAATCATGACACAAACAACCCCCATACACACAAAGCATCACCTAAATTCGAATGRTCTCTAACAATGAACCATTCCCCTATCCTAAATTAAACAAGGATTGAAAATCTTCCAAACACCTCCAAATAAAAATCCACAATAAGATGACTATTTTTTTTTTAATTAAAGATAATCACTATCAATAATGATAATCCCTACCTGGATTTTGCACCGCACAGAATTTACTCAATGTCTGTTCCTTTTGTATTTTTACAAGCAGCTATAGAGTACATCAGTCCAAAAAGAGAACAATCATCTTTAGATTATACAGACATGAATGTATTGTTTTCTTCTATTAGTAAGGAATTCTGTGTGGACATATGATAAATAACTAAGATGTAAAAAATTGGGTAAACACATTCTGTTTCTTTTTGATAAAATGCATGGAAAATAGGAAAGAATGCTGCCCAGAATTATTGCACCCTTGCTGTACATTTCTTACTGTGCTGCACATGAAGATTATATTAAGTGTATTAAMAAACTAGATGCTAAAGACAGTGTTTCCTACTGTTTGTACAGATGAAACAAAATAATCTTTATAAGATAAAGCACTGTGTTTTATGCAAATACAGCATCTTTCATAGCTAAGTAAATTATTGTTCTATGTTTGTTAGTAAGATCTAAACTTAAATTTGTTCACAGCATGGTATTTAAAGTTTAAAGGGATGAAACACAGTTTTATTATTTGCTCTTACACCAAGAAAGGGAGTCCTAAACCCTTCTACAAAATTGCTGTATACCAACCGATGCCAAAAGGAATTATATGGCTTTAAGGTGATTGAATGTAAAAGATTCTCTATTGCAAACACACTGAAATGCAAAAATTAATTGTTGCCATCAGGAATGAAGATTTATTTCCTCTAGACAAACTAATAACTGCCCATGATGAACAACGTCTCTGTGAATGTGAAAGRTATGAGGAAGCATAGGTTCTCCCCTATCATTCCTCCACATACGCAGGGTTTGGTGGAACAAAGGTCAAAGGAAGATAAATGTTAAAAATATCAAAGGTGGAGTCTCAATTTTGTATCCTGGATTATTGATACATGATACTAATCCTTCTTTCATTGTGTCAACAAATCAGACACAGCTTATACATTTTGAACCTGAAGAAGGTATGTTTAACCTAAGTCAGAAAGAGTGGGTATAGAAGAATTGAGGAGCTTACCAGATAACTTGGTAAAATCATGCAGCAAGATTTCTCCCTCTATATGAGGCCTTTTCTAATACCTTGAAAGTATTAGAAGATACCATAAGACTAAARCTGTTCAATGTAGCAACGAATAAAATGAAGTTATATCTCAGTTCTATGTATTATCTGACAGTACTCACCTCTACCATTTGTTCCCTGTTTTCTCAGATTCCAAAGAAGGATTCAGTTGCATTTTGCAGTGAGGCACAGTCAAGAGTAGTGATCTACACACTACTTACTGTCAGTGGAAGGAGATAATTGCAACAGAGTTGCCTGTTTTACTAAGGGCTGCAGCAAGTCAACTGGCCAACAAGACTTTTTTTTGTGTGAAGCTGACAGAGGAAGTAGTAAAGAAGCTACTACACTGTGAGCGGAAATAATAAAAGGATAACTACAACAAAGCTTAACCAAAACAAAGTAATATAATGCCAGTACTGCATATGGATACATGCAATACCAACTATCAGTATCATAATGCTAATGAAAGAGTAATAGAAGTCATCATCCATTCAGAAAAGTCACCAAGGAATCAGGAAATGCACAACTCTATTCTAATTATTCCTGAAGTTTTATATTTTTGATTAATCTACTTAACAARTATTTTTTCAATTAAAAATATTCTGGATTATTCTAGAAAGTGGGTTTATTTAGATTCACATTCTCTGAAATTGCCCAAAGGAAGTGTGTAATATGAACTGTAATATAATAACTTATTTTAGACATCAGGGCATTACAGCTGAATACAGAGTGACAAAACTATGAACTAGACCCTTTGTATTACGAGAATTGTTCTCCCACTTTCTTGTCTTAGATTGGTTAAAGAGATCRTAAAATATTTTTTTACACAGATTCTTGAGGAGGAGGAGAGAACAATACATTGCAACAATGTAGTGATGGATGCTGTTACCAAAAGGATGAAAAACAGTGTATGCTTGGCACAGCTTTTCACAACAAGGCTTAAGTCCTACAGATAAGGACATGTGACAAGATTTCCACAAGTTAGTAAGCACAAATAAGTTTTTTATTAGGCTGGGAAGGCTGTCATTTGTTTGGTTTTGCCAGTCTTGTGTCTGGAAGAACAGCAGAAAGTCCAAGCTTTTGATAGGGATCAATCAATCTCCAAAAGCCAAAACTTTATGAACTTGCAGAGGACTCATATCCCTATCCCAGAAGCAGCCTGCAAGGAAGTGTTCTCAGCCAACACATCAAAACCAAAGTCTTTCCACTTTTTTCCTTTACAAAGATGATTTCATTAGCAGGTGAAGTTCCAATAACCAATGTTCTTCCTGACTGACTGATGTCAATCATCCTGGAAAAGCTTGATATCATTCATTGGGTTAATAAAGAAAAACAGAAGTTGAAACCTACTGAGAAGACTAAACATGCCTAAATGAACTCCTGAGCACCCGCTGGAATGCAGTAAATGGGACTTCAAACAACAGAAACTCTGGCTAATACAGTAACAGCAACATATCTGCCATCTGACACAAAGCTAGTTATAATTGCATGGCTTCAAAGATAGCAGAAGCAAAGGRGTGATGATTGAGTGAGCAGGATATTAGAGGCAATCCTTCAGTCAGCTGAATTTCAGGACAGTTGAAACAGGAAAGGAAACCAAGTATAGTCCCCTTTGGTGTTTCAAACCTTAGGGGCAGCACGATTCCACTACCAGATACAACTGAATGGATGCATTGTGGTGCCATGCTTCATGAGCTATCTTATTTGTCATGCACTGGTTATTAAAACCCAAGCTACTCAGCAAAACTAAGCATCAAGGCATTTTAATACGTGAATAAAACATAGCAGAAATTGAACAGTATTGCCAGAATACTTGATAAAACAGCATGCTAAAATGCAGAGAAACATCTAGCTCTATGACTTCTACTCCTCAATACCTGAAAATGAGTAATTATAATGGTTATTTTTTAAATTTTTTTACAAATATTTTCTTAATTCATATCATAAGCAACTCTCACTCTATAAACAATTGTTCTGGTTATCTAAACACTTGAAAAAGTAGTTTTTATATGAGAGATTATTATTGTGAAACAGCAGCTAAGAGCATGATTTGCTGTGTTCTTACCACATTAAAGCAGATAGGAAACAGAAGCAAAGAAACACTTAAAAATTCGTAAAAGTGAAAAAAGGGCTTTCAGTATTACAAATACAAATGTGTAAACCACTATCTATTCAGAAAAAATGCTTGTGAGATACATGTCTCCTTAAATAGTTTATGACATGCTCTTTTACAGTGAAGATGAACAGGGAACTTCCTTGGCTTTGTTTTTTTATGAGGGAATGAGCTGTAAGGATGCGAGCTATATCAACAGCCAGAAATAAGCTGGAGGAACAAGGACACCCTACTGAGAAGCACTGAACTTCAACAGCTTCTGTGTTTGCTACAGTCAATTTGATTGCAAGTAGAACATGTCACAGTGGGATATCTTTTTTCCACACCATAGACTGTAAACACAGAAGCTGGCAGTACAATTAGATTTAGGCAGTATGAATGATTAAGCATTTAAAAGCAGTGATCATACAAGACCGCATATATCACTACTATATTTCAAATTTCTTCCTGGCT